TATATATATATAAGACTAGTGATCCAGTGATTCGGGGTTCATATATGTCGTCAAAACGTCTAATTCAGTTCAAGCCAATTAAGCATCTTTTTGGATTAAACCAGCGCTATGATAATCTGTTTTTTCTACCAACTCATGCTTGCGTTATTCAATAAACTCTTTTTTGTGACATTAGATCAGCTGGGCATTTACCGCTGGTTCCTTCGTTTCACCGACTGAGAGTGATATGCAAATCTTGCTGCTGAATGGACAGAAACGACAAAGGAGACGTAGAAGGGCATTAAAGATTTACCACGACACCGGATCCTTTCATGATGTTGTCCGGGACGCGATACACCTTCCCAGTCATCTCGGCCGTAGTTTCCTTCAGCTTTATGAGTAGCACTCGGAAATTAGTGCCGCCAAGATCGAGAGCCAAAAAATTGCCTCGCTCCGTACCGTTCGGCACTGCTCTGACAAAAGACGGTAGCATCTTTAAACAGCCTGCAAAGACAGAACTGTTTTTCTTCTCTATGTATCCCTGCAAAAATCCAAAAAGAGCATATCAGCAGTCGTCATCATGTTTGCATGTGTACGTGTTTTCATGTGTGTTTGTGTGCGTGAGTGTGCGTGTGTGCGAGCCTGTTTGCCTATTTGTCTGTCTGTGGCAGTAATAGAATAGCAGAATTATGAAGACTTAAAAGAGGACACAGTTTCTGACCGTGTGCGAATATTTACAGAGGCGGAAACAATTTCCATAATCTCGAAGTCCTAAGTTATGGACAGGTCCAGACGTATCCTACTGGCTGCGAAACAAAGGTACATAATGCAGATTTTAGAAAATTTCTACTGTAAATATGAGTCACAAAATGTTATATCGTGATCATTGTTGCTTTCTCTTTCATTGAACCATTACTGACCCATATGGCTCATTTCCTTCTTCAGAAAAGACCCCTCTCCCTTTATTCTACAGACAATCACTCTTTGTATGAGAGTGAAGCGTGTAAGGCATTGTACAGTAGTTAGTGTCATTGTGTTTTTTATGCGTTTTTGCATATATGCAAATTGCAAAAACGCATATTGGGAAGAAGCTGTGTGTGTGTGTGT